CCTGCCGTTTTGGACACAGCCCACATTGTAGCTGCTTTTCTTTTCTTTTCTTTTTTTTTTTTTACTTTTTTGCTATCTTTCTAATAACTTTACCTAATTTCAGCAAAAGTCAGCTCTTCAAATTTAACTCACATAAACAGTTTTGCTATTAATTCTTTTAGCGTTCAGCTTTAAGAACTAATATTTTCTCTAGTAAACTTGTTTTTATGATCTGAAACATTTAAACATGACAAACTAAAGAAATTTGTAAGGAGACAAATATTTTTTCACARCACTGTATATCTAGAACAAGCTTTACTTTAGCAGATGTAACTATTTAAAATGACAGATTTAGTCTTCATGTTGAAACTTCATCTCACCCTGATGTCGTCCAGCTTGTAGTCCAGCAGGCTTCCGTCAGCCTCCTCTAACCCCGGCCACTCGTCATCTCCGCCCACATCTCCTCCCTGACCCTCCATTATGATCTCAAAAAACACCATTTTCTCTGAGAAGCGACTGAAGCTGTTGTCAAAGCAGATTTCATAGTCTCCCTGCTCTGTGGGCTCCACTCTGAAAGAACGAAGAAGAAATCAAATCAAATCCAAATAAAACCTCACAGAGGGTCACAGRTGGGGATTCGGACCACTCACATGTGGACTCCATCAGAACGACGAGACTCAGTGATGAGCCGGACTCCATATGGAGAGAGGAYGGTGAAGTCCACATCCATACCAGCACCTGCAATAACCTGCAGACACACAAACCCGCACATTTACACTGTGGGATTAACTTTATCAAAACTTAAATATAAAAGAATGAAACTGAGAGAAAGAGCAAACAGCTCTCTACTTAAGATAATCCAATATTTCGAGGATGCTGCCTCTTTGTGAGTCTCCTAAAGGTTTTTGTGTCAGTGTTTGCTAAACATTGTTTTCCTGCATCCATTACTTGTCACATTCTGTCACCCTAATCCAGCTCCTGTCTATTTAAGGCTTCTTCCCAAAAGGCCTATTCTGCTCTGATGGTCTGTTGGATAAAAAATGTGCAGCAGCTGCTCTCTTTTTCTTTAAAGACGTGCCAAACAAGGATCAGTTTCTCTGCAGATTCATAATACAGATAAACTGTGGGACTCATTTTCCAAACTTAATAAGTTACTTATCTTTAAGTTGAATATCAATAAAATGCTCACATTGTCAAAAACGAAACAAAAACATGTATTATAAACTCTAAGCATAATAGCATTAGGTTAACACGTGGTGCCCAAACATTTTCCCTGAGTTAATTAATTACATTAAAATCAATCTGAGGGCCGCGGGCCAAATGCAATAATATAAGAAATGCTTAATACTTAAGTAAAGTTGTTTTATTTTTTTATGATTAGGCTAGCAGCCAGTGTGGTTGCCCACATTCTTCAGTTCTTTTTTTTTTCAGCCCATGGCCATGGAGAAAATTCAACATATGCTCAGGCAGCAAAGGCTCATGGGACTTTTCATAAATTTAAATTTGAGTATATGTGGTCTTATAAGGTGTGCAAACCTATGGGCTTAAATCTAATCTAAATGTCTCTTGTAGTTACTTGTATTTAAATTTAATCTTAACATAATTAAAGTCTAATAACCAGGACAACGGCTGGTGGGCCAAATGAAATGGCTCGGCGGGCCAACTTTGGCCTGCGGGCCCCACTTTGGGCACCTCTGGGTTAACAAAAGAAGAGTTCATAAGAACTCAATCATTAAAACAGTAATACAAAAGATGGATTTAATGCTTTGCATTATGTCTGTAACTGAAATGATTTCTGTTGGCTTTAATGAAGACCAAACTTTCATATCATTTCTTTTTTCAAAACTTTAAAAAAGAGATACATTTTCAGTACTTCAAAGTTTGTGGTTAAAATAAATTGTGGAACACTGTCTCCATTTATTTCATTAACTATCTGTAAATATGTTTAATGAGATGATAATATGCTGACATCCAGGTCATGATCAATCCAAAAAAAAAAAAAATTAAAAAAACAAAACAACTGGACTTTTATTCTGAAGCTGTAAACGTTTCTCTTCCCATTCAGGAAGCTTTGACATTTCAAACTGTCTGAAGTTGTGTGTAATTGGTAAGAAATGGTAAAAAAAAACATTTAACTCTGTTTTTATCCTGAGGCTACCAGGATACATTCAATTMATTTCAGCTAAGGCTAAAAAGTGCTTCTCTTTATTTTAATTCATCATGCTCGCTCCTTTCTCTGTTCAGAAACTGCAGTAATCCCTTTAAGACACTGAGAAGATAAACCGTAAAGATTAAGGAGGTTTCTAGAGAAGCTCTGAGTAAAAAAAGGTGTTAACTTTACACAAGTCTGATGAAGGAACATATAAATCATTGGTTTCTACACATTTTAATGCAGCTGACTGACAAAACTGGAGGCTTAATAAAGGATTTCTTATGTTGTATCTAATGAGACACCTGGCATGACATGAAAATCAACCTTTCTGCTTGTATGTTGGATTAAACAGAATTCTAAATGAGTTTCATTTCGCAACTTTCTCAACTTTAGCTTCTAAATTTAAAAATCAACGCACCTGTTTGTTCCAGTTTCCCCTCATATAATTTCAGGGCAATAAAAAAAGCTGATTTGAAACATCCACAGACCAGTGATACAAAGGGTTACAAAGAAAAAAGCTAAAGTAGACAAAAAATTAAAGTAACAAACAAACAAAAACAAAACACTAAAATCAAGAGAAATGTAACACATTTTGATTAAAATGAGGGTTAACAATAAAAGAAAAACTCAAACTGAGTGTAACTGCTGCAGTGAACATGACGTGATGACACACACACAGAAGTGAAACTGGTGAAAAATCCTGACCTTAAYATGAAAGAACAAACAAATATCTACAGAGTATGTTACGTCTATAACTGTACTCCAAGATAAGATATGATTTGTCCCACAATAGAATTYAGATGTTACAGCAGCAATAAGAAAGACTACAGATAAACAAGGACTAAATAAATAAATAAAAAACAAGGACTAAA